TTCTTGTTTTTTATTTTTTATTTCATTGAGAATAATAGCCCATGTAGGCTGGACAGTGTTGTCCAAACAAAATAGCAAATAGAAAACTTTGAGAACGTTGATGGCAACTGAAGTTTAAAATATATTAAATCCCACAGCAAACTGTTATTTCTTTTCTTACTCAAAATATTATGAGATTCACAATTCGCGGATTTTCGCTTTTAAGGGTTTAGTTTTTCTGAAAAGTACTATATTCTAAACAGAAGGTAGAACTTCAAATCACGTAAATCATTAATGATCGAAAAAAAAAAAGATATCATTAGTTAGATAAAATGAAATGAAATTTTATTAATTAGAAAATAATGGATATACATTAAGCCTAGGCAGCGAGTGAAGCAAGGTATTGCTTAATGTTAGGACGATCCTCAAAAGTATTTACCATTTTCAGAAGATTGGGGTAATCGTTCAACTTTGTCATAGCACCTTCGTCATCAATGATATGATAGACCATAATATCTGCATAGGTAATCTCTTGTCCTAACGCATAAGGACCTTCGTTATCACCATAATATTTTTCAAAAATACTGAGCCAATTTGGTAATTCAGTTTCTTGGTGTACCTTTTGTTGTTCCTATTATACTATTTCAGCCATTTATATTGTGTTAGAAAAAATCAGACATTACCTTAGTACCAAAGAAAGCTGTCTTAAGACTTATAAACCAATCTTCCACTCCATCAACAATAGTATCGATATATTGGATCTCTTCAGCATTAGAGCCATTATATTTACCCAACTTGGTAGAAAGGTAGCGAAGAACAGGTACAGTACCGCAAAACATCTTGCCTCCTACCTCAATGTATGGCACAGTTCCGCGATAATTACCCCTTTTAATAAGTTCTACCTTCTTCTCGCGCCAAGTTTCATCCAGTGGGACACGAACATACTCATGTTCTAATCCAGAGTCTTCCAAAAAGAGTTTGATGTTTTCACCACGTGCACGAGTCACTACATTTAAAATTAGCATAAATCGTAACCCATTTTCTGATAAATTTTACATTTTCCGCGAACGATAAGATAGTAAAGTGTAATTTTTTCCATTTTTTTGTAATGTATTTCTTGAAAAAAAAATAGTGAAGCTAAAAAAACACCAGATTTATATACTTTTTCGATTCTTTTTTGTTGCTATTATTAATCAAATAATAATAGGTGGGGCAGCACCCCATTAATTTCAAAAAAATTTCAGCCCGACAATGCCCTACGTGTTCAAATTAATTGGGGAAAAGAAATCAAACACATACGCTAACATGTTAAACACTTAAAGATATATCTTATCTCTATGGAAAGATTCTTCTCCATACCAAATCCTAGTCTTTTACATTCTTTTTTGTATTTCAATAATAGGGAAACAACAAAGCTATAAATAGCGGGCCTGCCTCAGCACCCAACATGTAACAAAATAAAAATGGAGATACTCTGTAATTATGTGGTTAAATTTTACCAAACCTGGAACTTGAGACTTTAGACAAAATTTGCGCAGAAGAATGTTTTATTTGTTTTTAATATTTGCAACATCATATACTCAAACAATCTAAAAATAAAATAAAAAAATATGTTAGATGAAATGTTATTGACTTCTCATGTTCAATAAAATATCACAAAATAAACAGTTATAGAAATAAAATGGAAATAAAAGGAGTATTTTGTATACCTTCCCCATATTTCTTGATTGGCACTATAATAATTATTACTGCTGTTGAATCCTATTGTACTTTTATCTAGTTTTTAAATGGCACATTATCGTTATCCCTATTATAAACCAAAGTACTCGAGTTCCCAGATGAACTTTCAGCTGCTGCTGGAGGACGTTGGAATACAAGCTCATCCACTTCGTCTATACATCTATTTTTCCCTTTTGGTGATTTTATGGGCTGTTTTGGGGTAACACTATCCTTTTTTTGAGTGTAATCCAGTTCAATCGACTCCTCCACTTGGTTACCAGCACCAATTGTATCCTTTTTACGAGTCATGACAAGACGACGAAGGTTCCTCTTTATTTTTTTCCCTTTACTAGTTCCACTTGCAACAATAGCAGAGGGTTCGGTATTTAAGTGAAGATCAACACCACTCCAGCTCCTTTTTGGTTGCCTCATAGCACCATTTACATGTTCTTCCAATTGTACTTCTCTTCCATTAGAAATAGCTTGTTCCTGTTCTTGCTCAAATATATCTTGTTGCCCTTCTTCCAAATGTTCCAAACGTACTTGTTCCTCATCTATTGGAAGATAACCATATGCACGCTCTCCCATTTCAGCCCAATCCGTACCAATCATTTCATCCTCATCTCCTAATCTCAGCGTCAACGATGGTATCTTATTTAATACTATAAGTATAATATAAGTGACGACAAAGGACCAAGCCGAGACAGCTGCAATTGCTGCAAGTTGAATTGGAACTTGTATCCAGTTCCCATCTAGCCACCCCCCTTTTGGCATCGATTCTTGAGGTGTCCCCTGAGGGAAGCCCAGGGCAATCACTTTTTGCTGTGCGAATATACCAGTAAGTACAAGACCTACCAAGCCACCAATATAATGAACGGCAAATACATCCAAGGCATCATCAAATCCAAGCTTGTGCTTATAACGTATGATCACATTTGATATGATCGCCCCTAAGGCTCCAAAAGCAAGTGCGCTACTGTATGTGACATATCCTGACCCAGGTGTGATAGTAGCCAAGCCAGCAACTGCTCCAGTACAGAGGCCAATGATGCTCCATTTTCGGGAGTGAAAATAATCCATTAATACCCACACGACGGAAGCAACACAAGCTGATATATGGGTACAAATAAGTGAATGGACACTATGCGCATTGGCTCCATATGCACTCCCAGCATTAAAACAGAACCACCCTAATAGTAAATTAGTTGAATAAAAAGTGCTTTAACTGGTTATGCCTGTATTATTTCTAGACTTACCAAACCACATTAAACCTAGCCCCAAAAAAACAAAGGAAATATTATGTGGTGTATTTACATTCATATCGTAATCTCTCCTTTTACCAAGCACAATTGCATAAGCAACTTTTTTCAGGATATCCAAAATAACGAGAAAAAGTTTAAAACTGAATGAATAACACAAATTTATATGAATAAATTCGCTTCCTGTTCATTACCTGCTGCTAGTCCACTTGATATATGTACAGGAGTACCACTGTAATATTTGTAAATAGAAATAAATCAGCTATATATTTCAAAACATATTATGTTATAATCCATTGCATTACCCAGCAAAATCTATAACGCCTAACTTTAATAAAAAACCATTCGGTGACCATACCCAACAAGTAATTATATCTAATAAAAAAAACGAATTAATTATGATCAAAGGTTTAAAAATATGATTGCAACTACCATAAACCAACGTTGTCCAGATAAAAATGAACAGAATTGCTGGTCCAAGCTAAACCATACTACCAATCAGTACAATTTACAATTAGAGATAGCAATAATTGTTGCTGATTTACTTACAGACATACGCTCGGCTGCAGATCCAAAAGCGAGACCTGTAATGCGTACAAATACAAAAAAAAACACATTAATTTCGATATTTATTTAGCAATTTCACTGTGTTTTTACCAGGTGTAATAGCAGCAAACATACACTGGAAGATCATAAATGCAAAGGCTGGAATTGTCTGACCCTCATACTGCGGCGCACGACCCACACCTCTTAATAAAAAATGTCCTACAAAATAGAATTACTGTTGATAAGCATTTGTATCGTCCATTTTGGATCTACTCTTACTTGAGTCACCAATAAATGATGTACCGGTTTCAGAGAAAGTTAAGGAATAACCAATTAAGTACCACTTTTTTTTTTATATGAAAAGAAAATAAGTCAATTAGTTTATTAGTTTAAGTTGTATAAATACCTGAAATGAAACTACAGCAACTGATAGAACTGTAAGGTACATTAATGATAGCGCATTTTTTGCTCTTGCTAACCCTGCATAAAAAAACCCAAGAGCTGGTGACTTTTTTTTTCAAAAAAAAAACAAAATATATGAGACCCTTTATCTTCTCTTATCGTTATCATAAATAATACCATAAGAAATACAAATGTGGAACACAGCATAATCCATCCTGTATCACCACTGTCGATTGTATAACTACTGCCTGTCTCTGTTGTATTTATAGATGTGGTATTCGAGGACATTCAAGTTAAATATATGTATACACAAGCCTTTGTTTTTTTTAGTCAAAAAAAAAAAAAAAAAAAAAAAAAAAAAAAAAAAAACTAAAAAAAAAAAATTAATTTTTTTTTTAAAAAAAAAAAAAAAAAAAAAAAAAAAGAAAAAGAAAAAAAAAGAGATTAGGTTTGAAAAAAGCAATGAATTGAAAACCTTTCAAAACGGAGTTTTGACTTTTATACATAAAAAAAAACAACAGCACTTTGATCAAAGAGAAGCATAAAAGTCATTTATTTCAAGCTTATATCAATTGGAAAAGAAACTATCGTCACTTTTTTAATTATTTATCTTTCATCCTGATCATTTTAGCAAAGAAAGAAATATTAATAAAAGAAAAGAAGTCAGTTGAATTTGGCAAAGGTCGTATCAGGAAATGATATGACTCACACTTGGTAGCCATACAAAAAAAAAAAAAGACTATTTTTGGATGTTTATGGAATGTCATTAGGTTTCTGTATTCTAAAGCCTAAATATACTTGACTTTTTCCCATATGTAATTGAAAATGAAAGCTTTTGTGTATAACTAAGGCTCTTACAGGACTCTTCTGCACTCAAAATCGTATGATTTTTTCTTTTCATGAGTGTAGCTACACGTTATTCTTGTTGTTTAAAAATCAGATAACGTCAAACCCAATTAGAAACAAGAATGAGTGGACAAAAAAAAAGGGGGGGGGAGGGAGGATCTTCTCTGTTCAAGAAAATAATCAAAGCACTTTCTTTACTTCATAAAAAAATTTTGCGCTATTGAACAGCAAAGAAAAAAGAAGAACGTGTGAACCACGCCGGGTTCGAACCGGCAACCTTTTGCGTGTGAAGCAAACGTGATAACCATTACACTAGCGGTCCTTACATGTTAGATTTAAAAAACAATTATATATAAGGGGATTTTTACTACGCGCACGACATGTCATTAAAAAACCGATTGGTCTATAAGTACTAATTCGACAGTGATCACATAAATATTGTATTCATGACTCCTTCTTACAATTCCTAATCGTATTCAACGCCATCTTTTTGATAGATACGATCACTTTGTATCAAAAATAAGATCATTCTAAAAAGGAGATATACAAGCTTTTTCTGATATTAATTCATCTCTATCTTCATATTCACAACTACACGCTAATAAATTTCTTATCATTTCCTATGATTTTCCTTAAGATTTCATAGCCTAATTTAGAACAGCCAAAGGCATTTCTTATGATGCTTGTCGTTTCTTACGTTAGGTACAGGATTTTAAGCACGTTAAATCTCAGG